AGGGGAGGAGGGTGTGAAGGGAGGAGGGAGGAGGAAGGGGAGGAGGGTGTGAAGGGAGGAGGGAGGGTAGGAGGGTGTGAAGGGAGGAGGAGGGAGTGGAGGAGGGAGGGGAGGAGGGCGTGAAGGGAGGAGGGAGGGGAGGAGGGTGTGAAGGGAGGAGGGAGGAGGAAGGGGAGGAGGGTGTGAAGGGAGGAGGGAGGGTAGGAGGGTGTGAAGGGAGGAGGAGGGAGTGGAGGAGGGAGGGGAGCAGGGCGTGAAGGGAGGAGGGAGGGGAGGAGGGTGTGAAGGGAGGAGGGAGGAGGAAGGGGAGGAGGGTGTGAAGGGAGGAGGGTGAACTGGGAAACAGGGCTTTATACCTGTTCCTTCTCTCCACTGACTGCAGGGGCTGCAGGAGTCTTGGGTCCAGGCTGAGGTTTCAAGGGCCTGGCTGGACCTGGATGGGGGGTGCGGATTTTAACGTTATTGGCGGGAGACCGGATACATTTTTATTTTCAGGGACAGTGATCTGACCCCTGGGGCTAGGTGCAGACCCTGGGTCCGAATTTTGCAGGTCAGGGGATGGACAGAGGTCGGGCTCCCACCCAGAGTGGAGCCCGAGACCTGTCCAGGCCCCCGCACCCCGTGACCCGCCGCCTGATCCTTGCCAGGCTGAGATGGGGCTTCTGAAAGCTGCTGGCGCCAGGGCAGGCAGCGGATTGAGTCCAATTTATTCTGTAATGAGAAATTTCTCCCCGCATATTTTTAGCTTCCTCCCGGTGTCCCGGCCTTTGAAGGCTGAGGGGCTGCGGGCCGCTGATCCCAGGCCCTGCGGCCAGGCCCTGTGGGCAGTGGGCAGAGAGCGCTGGGCACAGGCTGGGGGCCAGCGCTGGGCTTGGGCTGGACAAGCCCATTCTGAGCCTGGGGCAGACCCAGGGCCCAGAAGTGCAGAGCAGGGGACAGGACCAGACCCCATCCAGCCCTGTCCTGACTCCGGACCTGGGGCTGATGGCAACCCTGGGTAGCCCCTGACCTTGGCTGACCCCTGTCCCCAGAGCGAGCCTGACCTCGGACCCTTGGCTCCACAGGAAGCTTACTCCAAAGTGCTCTCTGGCTGTGGCCGAGTGCCAAAGCTGGGACAGCCCCCAGCCCCGGGAGGGGACAGGGCTTCTTGTGCTCCCCGCAGCAGCCCCCGGGCTGGGCAGGGGTTCCCCAGGGCAGCCTGGCTTGGGGCCAGGCCTCGGAGCTGCCGTGCCCTCCCCTCCCCTCCCCAGGCCCTTCCTCTAGGAGCGGCCAGCGGGTGCGGGGAGGTTGAATGGGGGACGCACCGCCTTTGTTCCCGTCCCTGCTTGGGCTCTGACCTTGAGAGAGAGACAAGAACAGAAGGAAAACGGAGCTTCTGCTCAAATCCGCTCAGCGGTGGCGGTGGCGGCAGCTCTCGCCTCGGTGGCCCCGCCGTGCCCGGGCGGAGGTGGCGCCCCCCAGCTTGCACCTGTGCAGGTCCCCGTCCCGGTGTGAGGAGAGACCCCCCTCCTCCCGACCCCGGCCCACGCCTCCCCACCCATGAGATTCCTCGAAGCAGGAAGGGGCTTCTGGTCCCAGGGCAGAGGGAAGCTTCTAGAACTTTGCCAGGTGGCATGCCGGGGCCGGGAACGCCAAGACCCCAGGCTTGTGGCCCCTCGTCCTGTGCTTGGCTGCGGCCACCGCACCTCTACTCCGAAGGCGTTCGCCTCTGGGAGTGGCTGCCCCCTGCTCGCCCAAAGAGCCCAACCAGACCGAGCCGCCCAGATGCTTGTCCAGCCTGCCTGGGCCGGAAGAGCCCTGCGTCGCTAGAACCCCAGGCTCTCACTCCAGGGGCGCCACGAGAGTCTGCCTCAGCCACCACCTTGAGCAGGTTCCCGCCCTTCACTGAAGACACCCGGCCAGCCCTGGGCCTTCGACCAGGGATGTTTAGTGGGGTCAGGGGACAAGGGCCGGAGATTACAACAGATGGGCTGAGCTCCCTGGAGGGCAGAGGACTGAGAGCCTGGTCCTGGCAGGGACGCTAGCGCGCTGCGGGGTGGGGGGAAGAGACCTTCCTGGAAGAGCAGGATTCTAACAGGAAGAAAAAGTGGACTTCCCAACAGGATTCAGCCTGAACAAAGCCGGGTGATGTGGCCCGTGGGGACGTGGCGGGAGACACATGACAAAGCCCAGAGCGTCTCAGAGCTGTGCGGTGGTGCTGGGTTCCGTCTCCACCCCACCTTGCTGGGGCACAGGTCGGCTTGCCCACCTCTGCTCTTACTGTCTCTGCAAGCAGCCTGGGTAACCCCTCACACAGGGGCCTTCTGGTCCAAGAGCTCTTGGCTCCTGCACTGGGCTTCCCTCTCCTGCGCTGGCCCTGGTGATTGTAACCAACCCAGAGAGGTCCGACGTGCCTGGGCATCGCTGGCAGAGTCCAGCAGGCACTTGGTGACAGCGTACCCTCCACAAGCAGAGTCTGGTGAGGGAGGCTGTGGCATGAATAAAGGCAAAACAGAGGGCAGGCCAGGTGCCGTGGCTCATGCCTGTAATCCTGGCAATTTGGGAGGCCCAGGTGGGAGGATCACCTGAGCCCAGGACTTCAAGTCCAGCTGGCCAATGTGACCAGACCCTGTCTCTATTTATATATTGGGGGGGAAAAAATAGAGGCCGGGCCCCCAGTTCTCCGCCTGTGTCAGCCTCTGGGGAGGAGTGATCACTCGGTTCCCCGAACAGATCAGACCCCCGGCCTTTGCACAAGCTGTGGGTGCTGCCCGGGCACCGTCTTCCGTCCTCCGCAGCCTGCAGGATTCCCGCGTGAATCCTGATCTGCTGTCGGCCTGGGCTTCACTCTGGGCTTCTTCGATGTCATCCGCAGCTGCTCAGACTCAACACCGGTCCACCCGCCCTGCGCCCAGGCAGGGACTCACTCCGCCCCCAGCGAACAGCGCGGGTCCGGACAGGGGAAGCGACTCCCAGGAGGGCTCCAGAGAGGCCGCGGCCCCGGCAGCTTTGGACTTCAGCTGGGGCCGCTCCAAAAGTCTGCCGTGGGCCCCGCCGGGAGGCTGGAGTTGGAGCCTGACGCGGGACGGGTGCGTCGGGGTTGGTGAGGCTGCGGGTAGTGCTGGAACCGGGCAGGTAAGAGGGCCAGGGACTCGGGGCCAGGCCGGTGCAGCGCGTGGAGGCGCGGGAGGCAGGGTGCGTCCTCGCCCCTCGGGGACCCGGGTGCGCGCCCCGCTGAGGCCCGCGGTGGGCGCGCAGAACGGGGGTCGCTGGGGCAGGACCCGGGGGAGGCGGTGGCTCCGCGCGCGCGGATGAGAGTCGCGGGGTGGGCCCGGGCGGGGGCGGGCGGAGGCTGGAGACCCCCGCCCAGTCCCCGCGCGGCCGGGGCACGGCGGGAGGGGGCGCCCGCGGCCCTCCCGGCGCTCGGGCGGGACAAAGGCCGGAGCCGGGGCCCCTCCCCGGCCCGCGCTCCGAGAGTCCGCGCGGCCGGGTCCCGCGCCCCGGCGACCCCGGCGCCCCGCCCCGCCGCCGCCTGACTTCTCGGCGCCCGAGGTCGCGCGCGCGGAGGCGGGGGCGGCCGGGGATCTCCAAGCGCCGCCGCGCCCTCCTCCCGCCCGCCCTGCGCCCGCCCGCTCGGCGGCGGCGGAGGAGGCGGAGACGGCTGGCAGGCGGCGGCCGGGAGAGCGAGCGCGGCGGCCGGACCGGGGCCATGGCGCCCGCGCAGCGCCCGCTGCTGCCGCTGCTGCTGCTGCTGCTGCCGCTGCCGCCGCCGCCGCCCTTCGCGCGCGCCGAGGACGCCGCCCGCGCCAACTCGGACCGCTACGCCGTCTACTGGAACCGCAGCAACCCCAGGTGAGCGCGGCCGCGCGCGGGGGGCGCCCGGGGACCCCCGACGCCCCCCAAGCCGCGTCCGGCCTCGCGCCCCCGAGGTCCGGGCACCCCTCGCGCGCACCGCCGCCGGGATGCGGGCCCGCCCGGTTCCCGCGGGAGCCCCCCAGGGAGTTCCGGCCCCCCGGAGTTTGGGGGACTCGCCGTTTCCACGCCTGTCTCCCCTGGGGCACCCCAATCCCCTGAGGACTTGGGGGACGTGCGCCCCACATCCCCCAGAGTGCCGACGTCTCCTGGAGTTTGGGGAACCCCTCTGGCACCCTCCGATGCGGGGCAGCCCCTGAGTTGCCTGCCTGGACTTGGGGGTCTCCTGATCTACGCGCCTCTCTGGGGAGTCCCCTTGCTGTCGCATTTGATGTGGATCCCCGGGGACCTTGGCACCGTGGTGGGGACTGTGGCCCTCGGGGCGAGGGATCTGTGGGTGCGTCCTGCCCGCAGGTCCCCAGATGAACTTGGGGAAGTTGGAGTGTCTCTCCCTGGGGACCCAGCATCTGCTTCACTCCAGGGGGCCAAGGGCCCAGCTCTGAAAGGAGACTGAGGGGCCGGGGAGCTGGGAGTCAGTCCCGGGAGGTGCAGTGGGCTGGAGTGCTCTCCTATCCTCTTGGTGCTGACCGGGAAACTGAGGTGCAGAGGGGATGAGGGGCCGGCTCAAGGTCATGCGAGGGGGTGAGTTGGGGCGGGACCCAGGTGGCCTGGTGCCCTGCCTGCCACGCCCGGCCAGGATGCCCCATCCGCCTGCCGCAGGCCCCCCCTGTTTTGAGCCAGGTCTGGGCCACGCACAGTGTGGGGGACAGGGGAAGCCCCAGTTGGTGAGGGCGAGAAAAGTTTGCCGGGGCCTGGCCATGGCCTGGACATCGCCAGAACCCTCAGAGCCATCCCAGGGTCTCCAAGGCTGCTGCAGGCTGCTGCTTGCCTGGGGGTCCCATGGGACTTTTGCAGGTCCTGGGGCTCAGGACTCAGCCAGCCCAGCACTCAGGGTGTCACGGTCTCCCCAAGGTGGGCAGAGCTGCACATCGGGGTCCGAGGTGGCCTGCCCGCTCCTCTGCCACTGGTCACTTTCTCTGCATTTTCCAGCCGCTTCCTGTGCGGACCCTGCCGCCCTCCGGAGCCCGCCATCCCTCCTTGTCCCTGCTGCCTCCTGCTGTCCCCGGTCCCCAGGAGGAAAGTTGCATGAAGGGGCCTCTTTGAGGCAGGCTCGGGGACAAGGGCGGTCCGTGTTCCGCCTTGGGGGTGGGGAGCAGGCACAGGCCCACCCCCTACCAGGATTGACCGCCTTGGGGTCGGGCCCCTGGGGGCTGAGGGCAGGGACCCCGGGCTGCTGGGGGACGGCTGGCCCACCTCAGAGCCGGTCCCCACGCAGCCCGCTGTGCTGGTCACATGTGGGTTTGATTAAGGCTGTCGCTAGCCGTGCGGGGAGCCCAGCGGGCAGCGCTTCCCCGGCCCAAGTTTTTGGTTTCAGCTTCGGAATCTCCATCCCCAGCGTGGCCTGTCCTTTGTTCTAGCAAATGCCAAACACACGAGGACCGGGGAGCCAGGGAGGAAGGGGGTCACCAGGGCCGCCCTGCTGCCCCACCTGCCACAGGGCTGTGGGCTGCGGGCAGGACCCCCAGCCAGGGGAAGGAAGTGGCCTCCCTAGAGCCTGGCTTGGTCCAGCCACCCGGTCACCTCCTGTTGCTCCAGGTCTGACCCGACAGCCCAGCTCAGACCGTTGCCTGAGGAGACGGCCTTGCCGGTCCGCAAAGCCGGCCTGGGCAGCACGGGCTTCGTCCTCCTTCCTCTCCTGCCTGGGGTGTCCAGGGCTGCTGGGGACCGAGCCGACACCCAGCAGTGTGGCCCAGGGCTGGGTCAGCCTCTTGCCTGGGAAGCCGGGATCGGCCAGAAGCCTGGCTTCATCGCCCACATTGGGATCTCTGCAGCCCTCAGACCCGGTGTCCGGGGGCACCTGCTCAGGACCCGTGCCTGCGTGGCAGGGGTGGCAGGCATGGCAGGGGGTGGCGCTGGGCCTCCGTATCCAAGGGGACCCCGTGGAGGGGACATCGCCTGCAGAGAGGAGCGGCGACGGCCAGCAGGCCTAAGGCATGAGGCTGGGCTGGCTGGGGAGGGATGATGGGGTTGGGCAGGTGTGTAGGAAAGTCGGGGACCTGAGTCTTTGAGAGGGGCACCCAGAAAGGCACTGGGAGATGGGGCTGGGAGACAGGGCCTCGGGGGGCAGACAGCCACGTGGGCACCACGGGGCCATGAGCTTGATGGGACCCACAGGCCTGGACAACGCCACAGCATCACTGGCCGCCGCTTCTGCCCCCCGGCCTGGCTCCGGTGCCCAGCGATGACCCTGTGGTCTGTCTTCACATCACACCCTCCCTGCTGTGAGATGCGTTGCCTGCACCTGCAGCGGGGGCCCGGCACCCACCTCCCTGGGCCGCGATAAGGTGGGGCCCCGTTGGGTGGTCATGCTGACTGCACAGCGTCTGTCCGACCTAGCTGGGCTGGGCACCCCTGAGCTGGCTGCTGGGCATCTCTGGGCCTGTCTCCAACTGGGCCACATTGGGATGGGGCACCTGGGGCTTGGACCTGGCCTGGCTGTCCTCATCTGGCCTGGCCACAGCACAGCCTGCACATTTCCACGGTGCTTGTGTGTGTTCGCGTGGGGGGTGCAGGTGTGCCCTGGAGTCGCATCCTGCTGTGGGTTGTGGCTGTACACGTGGCTGAGTGTGGCTGGCGTGTTCTCCTGCACGGCACACACATGTCCTGGGCGGTGCCTGTCTGTATGTGGGGTGCACACGTGTCTGTGTGGCGGAAGGCTGTGTGAACCTACAGGGCACAGCTCCGGTGCATTTGCACGTCTGTTCTGTGATTGCATGTGGAGTGCACGCGTGTGTGACGTGTGTGTAAGTGTGCCTGTGTGCGGCACCCGAGTTTGCACTGCATGCCCGTGCACGGAGCATCTGCAGTGTCCGAGGTGCCTGTCTGCATGTGGCATGCATGCGTTTTGTCTGTGCGTGGAACGCAGGCGAGTGTGCGTGTCTGTGTGTGGGGTGCGTGTAAGCGTGTCTGCCTGGGGGCAGCTCTGGCCATCCTAGGGCCTGCAATATGGGAGCAGTGGTGGCCCCAGCATCATCCACGCCGGCGACTCCACGGCTGGCCCTCTGTCTCCTCCGTCCCTGGGGACAGGACCAGGGCCTGTGTGCAGACAGCCATCGAGCCTCAAAATGGGGTGGGTGCAGGGCCTGGGGTCCCCGGGAGACTCCACCTTCTGATTGAAAATCTGCAGCCCACGTGTACCTGGGTTGGGGCACTGGGTGGGCAGGTGCCCACCCTGGGCATCTCTGGGCTTTGGCCACCCTCCTGGGGTTCCCCAGGGACCCTCGGGTATGGGCAGCAGCTGGGCTCCCTTCAAACACCAGATGGAAAATGGCGACCTACGTGGAGGCCTGGTCCCGGAGGGAGGAGCCGTGCCCGGCAGAGGGCAGAGGTGAATGGGTGTCCCGCTCCCCGTGGCTCTGAGGCGTCCCCCGGTGGCTCCGAGGCGTCCCCCGGTCTCTGGGGGCGCCAGCTTTGAAGGGGGCGATGCTGTGTTTTGCTGCATGAGGGTTTTTTGTTTTGTTTGAGAGAAGCTGGTCTGTTCAGCTTTGGGGGGCAAGGAGAGCCAGGCCGTGGGCTAGGGGGTTCGAGGCCCCAGGGCTGGGGTCCTGGAGGCCATGGGGTGGCTGGACTCGGACTCGGGTCTGGGAGGCCTGGGCGTGATGTCGGGCGGTGGCTTGGCAGCCAGGAGCCCCCAGGCCTGCTCCGTGGAGTGGGGGTGACTAGGAGCCCGGCGGGGGGGTGCAGCTAGCTGACAGGGCCTGGTGTGGATGGGCAAAGGCCCGAGGGTGGTCCCAGGGCTTTAGTGTCCCCTCCCCACGGGGGGATCCGAGGCAGCTCCTGTGGTGGCGGATGTTCGCGCCCGAGGCGCCAGGGTCTCTGTCTCACGGTCTCTCTGGGTCTCTGTCTACCGCGTCTCTGGGTGTCCTGGGGTGCAATGGGTGGCCCAGGCCTTCCGCCTCCACCGAGGGCCTCCCTGGGAAGCGCAGTCTGCAATGAGGGAACCGGGGCTCCATGGCGGGGTCCGTGAGAGCAGTGGGGTTTGACCTCTCCCTGTCCCCGGGCTAACCTCTCCGCAGGTCGGCAGGGGACCGGCCCTAGGTGGGTCCCTTGGGGTCACAGTGAAGGCAGCAGGTCATGCATTCATAGGGGTTAGGGTGGCAGCGTTTCTGTGGAGCTGGTGGTTTCCTTGTCATACATGAGGGTCCTGCTCCGGTGGCCGTGTGTTCCTGGGGACACGGCTTCTCTCCTCCTTGGGAACCGAGATGCTGCTATCCTCACCCCGCGGTCCTTGCGTGTGGGAATGGCCTCTCTTGCGATGGGTCTCTGAGGAGAGCTGGGCTTTGTCCCTTGCTCAGGGAAGGGCTGAGCCCCTCCTGCCCCTGTGCCCACCGTGCTGCTGCCCCAGACACTCAGCCGGGAGCCCTAGGAGAAGCAGACGCGCCGGCGGGGTTTTTGAACCTCAAGCAGCCGTTTGAACTCTGTGGCCGAGCTGGCCCTGGTGGGGGGCTCGTGCCACGCCTGATCCTGGAATGGGCTGTCGTGAGGTCTGGCCAGGAGACGCAGCGGCGGCCCTCCCCAGCTCTGTGTCCCTCTCCCTCCTTGTGGGTCGGGGGCCCCCACCTCACAGAGCAGCTGAGGCCCTGAGAGATGGTGACTCCCCCAAGGCCACCCGGAAATTGGGCACAGTCCAGGGCGTCCCCACCTGGAGCTGGCCTTGGAGGAGCCAGGCACAGCCCTGGGATGGGTGGGACGCTGGGTAGCCAATGCCAGCTGTGCCCGCAGCACTCTGTACCCAGACTACTCTGTCCCCATGCCCACAGTGTCAGAGGCCCATGAGGGGCCGACCCTGCCCAGCCCATCTTTCCCTCCGCTTGCTTATTTCCTCTTTTGCTTCATTTCTACGGCCCTGCCTCAGTTTACCCTCCTGCACCACAAGGCCATACTTGTCCTTTCTCAGGCGGACCCTGCACCATCCTGGGGACTAATTTCCCACCAGGTCCTGGACAGGAGGAAAAGCGCCAGCCCTCAGTCAGGGGAGACGTCTCTTCGTGCCCTGGAGGAGCCAGGTGTGGGTGCTGGGGTGGGTGCTGTCATCCCAGTAGGTCTTGGTTGGGGCGGCAGGAGGGGACGGGCGGCCTCAGCCCTACGCCGGGCCTCAGGAGCCAGGCTGCCCGCTCATCCGGCCGGCCTGGGCCTCCCCGGAAGTCTCTGGACCCTGGAAGAGAGATGGGGACCAGTGCGGGCACCCACCTGCCCACCCACAGGGTCCTGGCTGCTGGCCACACCACTGCCTCAGTTTCCATTCATGGAAGGCCGCCCAGCCCACCCCCACCCCAGTTTTGGGTGAGATTCCTAATTAGTGGCTTAGCTATTAGCCTCTAATGACTTGACAATTGCCGGATTGGAGCTAATTAGCTCCAGGCCGCTTGCTGGAAGGGGTGGCAGGCTCAGAGGCCAGTGAGCAGGAGGGGAGCTCTGCTGGGTGAGGCTTGGCCTGGGGCCTGGAGGGCTGCCTGGAGGTGTGGACTTTGGCTCCGGCAGGTTGAGTGAGCGTAGGGGGGAAGGTGTGGCCCGCCAGAGGGAACCTGGAGGAGTAAAAGCTGCCACCACTCTGTCTGGGAAAAATCCCAAATCAGTCATTAACCCCTTAGTGAGAATTTCAGTCTCTCTCTGCGGCTCCCGGGGAGGATTTGCATATCGAGGCTTCCTCACGGAGGAAGCAAGGCTTTGTCTGCCTCTCCCCAGGCGCAGTTTTGGGGTGGGGGCCCCTTCCCCCCAGCAGGCGCCACCCTGAACCGGGGCAAGGCGCCCGCCACGGCTCACACGCCAACTTGGAACAGGGAATGCCAACACAGCACGGCTGCCGCGATTTTAGAGACGCAAAGGGAAAAAAATGGCCCCGGCAGAGGGCAGGCAGAGCCGGGGACGGGGGTTCCCCTGGGACCTGCCTCCCACACACACCTGGGGGCTGCCCCCCACAACTCCAGCACCTCAAAGTCCTCGCCTCTTGACCTTTTTAATTCACTCAGGCAGGAAACATATATCAAGTGCCACTGTCTGCAGGGGCCATGCAGGGTCCTGGGGAAGGGACAGAGGCGGTCAACCTCAGAATCGGATTTTCAGACAGCAAACCCTGCAGAGGAATAGGTGAGGTATGCGGGGGCGGGGCACAGGGAAGAGCATTGCGGGCAGTGGGAACAGCACATGCAAAGAGCATGGGTGGGAACAGGGGCAGCCGGGAGGCTGGTGTGGCCGGAAGGGAAGCGTCTTGGGTGGAGGAGGAAAGGAGGGTGGAGCGGACGGACCCCACAGGCCTGAAGGGGTGTGGATTTTATTCTCCGATCAGGAGTGGATGGAGGGGTTTGAGCCACTGCCGACGTGTTACAGGGTCTGATTTGCACTCAGAAGAGCGAGCTTGGGATTTGGGGAGGCTGGGCCCCGCTGGACCCTCACTGCAGTCTGCAGAGGCCCGGACACCCGGCAGCTCAGCCCACACAGAAGCTTCGGTCTCTGATGTTTTACCGAAGGCAAAATGGGAGGAGAGAACACGGTGGTGTCAGACTCAGGGGAAGGAGGCAGGCACTGTCCGGGAACCAAGAGGCCGGAGCTGGAGGGACAGGCCTGGTGCCGCAGGCCCACCTTTCAAGGCCGCTCTGTCTCCAGAAGCATCCTGCTAGGAGCCAGGTTCTTTTTTGGGGGCTGAATGTGGCTCCCTAGGCATCATGGCCAGGACAGGAGGAGAAACTGAGGCCAGAGGGCAGTGGGGGGCCCAGGCTTCCCTGTGGTTCCCCCACGGAGGCCTCCCTTGCAGGGCGGCCTGGGTGTGGGCAGTCCCAGGCAGGAGCTGGGCCTTGGCTGCCATCGACGGCCTGATCAATGGGCTTTCGCTCAGGCTGGGCAGGAACGAAAATGACTTTTCAAAAAGGCTGGAGCAGTTTCTGCATCGATCGTGCCCAAGGGGCCAGTGGGTCAATGAGACGCCTGTGCCCAGCAGCCAATGGGGCAGCCCGAGGGGTGGGGCTGAGGCTAAGCTGGTCCCTGTCTGAGCCTGTCTGAGGGCTGCCCCCACATCTGTGTGGACACACCCCGAGTATCCAACGGCTGGGAGGACCATCCGCCTGCACGGTTGGGAAAGGGAGCCTCTGACAAGAGGACGGGCCTCGGGACCCTTCTGGGCTCAAATCCAGACCCAAGCCCAGAACTGCAAGGCTTGAGGCCCCCGACGGGCCCCTGCCCCTCAAGCCTGGCGCCCCAGGGAGATTTCCCTGCCACACGTCCTCCCACCGCCCTCTGTGCTGGGCTCACAGGGGTGATGGAGGAGGCTGGGTGAGTTCTCTATCCCTGGATGAATCCAGCCAGGTAGGGAAGGGCGACTTCCCCACCTCCGACTCCTACCTTGAAATTCTTTGCTCTGGACCAGGCGCGGTGGCTCACGCCTGTAATCCCAGCACTTTTGGAGGCTGAGGTGGGCGGATCACCTGAGGTCAGGAGTTCTAGACCAGCCTGGCAAACGTGGTGAAACCCCGTCTCTACTGAAATACAAAATTAGCTGGGCATGGTGGCACCCACCTGTGATCCCAGCTACTCGGGAGGCTGAGGCAGGAGAATTGCTTGAACCCGGGAGGCGGAGGTTTCCATGAGCTGAGACTGTGCCGTTGCACTCCAGCCTGGGCAAACAAGAGCGAAGTTTGGTCTCAAAAAAATAAAGAAAAGAAAAAAGAAATTCTTTGTTCTGGAGATCTTCATGTCGGAGTTCCCATTTGGGAAACTGAGGCACTAGGGAGCAGGCCTGCCTGCCCCTTCTCACCCCTGGAGACCCCAGAACCCTCGGCCCTGCCTGGCGCAGCATCTTGAGGTGGCAGGGGGCTGGGCTGCTGCCATCTGATAATCACATGGCCCTCTCGAGAGCTGCTGTACCAATTAGTGCACCCGCACGGGGCCCCCGGCAGGCTCCCCTCCGCAGGCCGGGGTGGTGGTGACTGTGCCCGGCGCAGAGGGAGTGCCAGGGCCGGGATTGGAGTAGCCTGCCTCCCACATGCTGCCAACTCTGGTGGGGCCTCAGTTTCCCCACCTGCGCAGGGAGGGAGGAGGCAGGAGCGGTGTGCGGGACCCCCATCCCTCCCTGCTCAGATCTTTTATGTGCTAATAAGCCCCTTTCAGGGGCCCTCTGGTGCCCTGCTTGGCCCGGCCGCCGGTTACATGACAGGGACCCTGGGGACCACAGTCAGGAGATCTAAGGGCTCCTGCCACCATCGCCCGAGGCAGTGAGGGAAGGGGAGCCGCTGGTCCCTCCCTCGGTTGACCTCTATCCTCACAGAGGCCTCCCCGCGCACC